CAGCTGCTGGGTCATGCGGAAAAGAAGCCAAGGGTTGGTTCCAATGTGTTGCCAGGTGAACAACTAATATGTTCTAAATCCGGGCAAAAAGGAAGGCATGCCAAGTTTGGGCGTGGATAATCCCTTTCATGAAGTCAACTTTCCCAGCTGTTCTGCTTCTCATAGTTGTTCTCCTTGCTCGAGTCTGTCTTGGGGGCGGGAGGGGAGGGGGATACTGCGTTAGCTCAGTGCCTCCACCCCAGCAGGTGAGTCCTGGCAAGGTGGTTTGGGAAACCTGATCACTCCTGGGCTTTGCATTTCTGACCCTACAAGTGAATCCCATGGAACAGTGTCGGCTCCAGGATGGCCAACCCTCGTTGACTCACAGGGCTGATGGAGTTCAACTGAATGTTAGAATCCCGAGCTGTGAGCCTGGCCCTGACCCAGCCAGCCCACCGTGCCCAACGGAGCTTTCCAACTTTCAAGTGCTGGCTTGGTCAGTGTAGCAGGTTCCTTGTGGAACAACTTTTGATATATGTCAAGCCATATTTCAAATTCATGAAATCATCTGCTCTTCTATCTTCATTTTTATTTCTTTGATTTCTTGAATGACAGCTGTGACCAGGGTAGTGGTCCAGAAAAAACAACGTCAGCAGGGGAACTTCCTGTACAGGCCAAACCCTTAGCCTGATGTCCAGAATTCTTCTGTTGAGTCAAAGGAAAACTCTTCTAAAAGAAACAGGGCAGGCTGTGCCTCCTAAAATAATAGTACTCTTGGGTATGGTAAGATTTTTCACACCATGCTTATTAACTGATTCCATAATGTCAATGAGTTTAGCTTAAGGCCATAGTGAGGAAAGCCAGGAGATTTGCAAGTTTTGGCAGGTGGCAAGAAATAATAAAGAGGGGGCAATTGACAGAAATGAAGTGAAATCATCAGAATCAAACTGAGCCCAGTTACTAATTCTCTGTAGGATTCAGATCTGCTCTTTCTCTGTGTTCCTGGTGAAGCTATCTTTGAAAATACAAAACCTTGCTTTCCCCCCCCCACCCCATTCCTTTGCAAGAACACAGCCCTCCCTAGCTCCATGCCCCGCCCGGCTGCAGCCCGCTTGGTGGAGAACAGAAACAGTATCGACTCATCAAAGCCCATCTGTTAGAGTTGTTGTCATGATAAAAGCAAGGAGACGGAGGTAGCTCAGAGACAAAGCCTATAGCATCTTGGAGCTACTATCAAAGACGGTGCCTGAGTTTTCAGCTTATCAGAATGGGAGGAGCAAGCCACCAATCCCACCTGTTTCTGATGTCCTTTTGTTCTGGACAAGGTGCTAGATAGACAACGCTGCCCATTGGGAATGAGTTTCATTTTGCTTCCCCTCCCGAGATGGTGTACACACCACTTCCACCATCACCTGGGGAGTGGGGGGAAGTGCTTGCTCCCTTCGAACCCCGCTCCTGTCATCTCTCTTTTACATAAATCTTGCTTTGCGCACTGACGTTGTCAGCATGACAAGTTCTTGTGAGACAAGAAGCAAAGTGAACAGGAGTGGAGGTGCAGGGAAGGGGGGGCGGGAATTCTCTAGGATGGGTTCCCCATCAAGACCAACCTCATCAACCCCTCCAAGGCACGTGAGCGCTGGAGGAGAGAAAGAGCGAACAGAACAGAACTCCCAAGAGACATCACGCACGCTCTCTCGATTCCTTCAATGTGAGATTCTGAATCAAGTTTACCTTTCCCTGGGAGCTGAGGGCAGGTTGCTGCAACCACAGCTGGGGGTGGGGGAGGACAGCGGGGTGTGTCAAAGACCCAATGTTGAATGGGGTGACCTTGGTATTTCCACAGCGACTGTGCTGCTCCAGCAGACTCCCTCTGTAGGCCCGGGCATTTTCTCAGGGTGTGCAGTAATCTGTGACTCGCCCTCCTTAGCACTCCCACTTCCCAGAATTACTCAGCTCACAAATGCACCCAGGGCGCCCCGCTGTGACGTGTTGAAAGGATAACTCTTGCACCAAGGAGCAGACTGAGTTGTAAGTGACTCCCTTGGGTGATTAAATGCCGAGAGCCAGGGCTGTAGTGCTAGAATTCATTGGCTGCCAAGTTTATTCCGACGCCACAAGCATTTGTCTCCGTCTAGATAGTAAGGGTTCTGAAAAGATACACACACAATGCCTTTTGGCAAAGCATTTTCACACCCTACTTCTCCCTCTAGGGAGTGGAGAATTGAAGGTACCCCATCCTAGGATGCTCAGCATATTGGAACAGGAAGACTTGGGGACTCATATTTTGGCAATGAGAACAGAAAGCCAGAGCTGTGGCACGGGGCATGGAGCACCGAGCATCAGAACATCAGAGTACCTGGTTGGAGTCCCAACGCCTGCGCTTCCCATCCAGCTTCCTGCTAATCCACTCTTGGGAGGCAGTCGGTGATAGCTCAACCACTGTGGACCCTGTCACCCCACGGAGGACCTGGCCTGAGTTATTGCCTCCTGCCATTGGCCTGGAGACAGTCCAAGCCTGCTGAAACCTTGGCCACACCTTCAAGTGGGCGGGATCAGCACTGCCCACCCATGGCCTAACTACCAATGGGGAACATTTTGCCTATTACAAGGAGGGGTCAGGTGGCTTCAAAGCCCAGGAGCCTTCCTTTGACCTTCCTTTGACCGTCCTTAATCCTTCTAAAAGGCACCCCAACTGGCTAACCCTCCGGAGGTGCTTTCCCATCCCTCTTCTTTCCCCACTCAACTGGTCCCTTTGCAAATCAAACTTTTCTGCCTGCAACCAATTCCTGGCTTTTTATTTCTATATTAAGCTGAGAAAAGAACCCACCAGGTTTTCCTGGTAACAGTAGGCATTGGAGACAGGGGGACAAGTCAGCAAGTGGATGATCTTTCTCTGTCTCTTTCTTTTAAATAAAATGAAAATAAAGACTTTTCTTTTTTTAAATATAGACCTGCTACAGGAAAGATTATCCAGAGGATCATGAATTACAGAAGAGAGTTCTGTTGCTAACTTCATCATGGTTGTCTGTATTCTCACTATATTTTTTAATGTCAATGAATCGTGCATTTATTCCTTCTGGTTCTCAGCTTCACAAAGCTGGAAATGTGTGTCGGGGGGATGAGGGTCCCCGGATTAGGTGAGCCCCGAAGCTCCCACATATATCCTATTGTAAGCCTGGTAAAGAAGTGGGGCGAGGACAATTTTCTTGCACTGCTGATGGGTGACAAAATTGGTACAAATAGGAATTGTGACGAGGTAATAAACAGTAGGAATAACACTCAAAATGAGTACCACTTGTGACCCCATGATTTCATGTTTAGGCTTATTCCTTAGTAAACTTTCATATGGGCACACCAAGACATGTCCAGCATTCCTGAGCGCTGTGTACGAGTAATGCCATGGATAAAGGACTGCCCCATCACACAAAGGAATACTACTCAGCAGTTAGAATGAATAATTTAGTTCTCTATAAAAATATAAACTCAGGCCCAGCACGGTAGCCCAGAAGCTAAAGTCCTTGCCTTGCATGCCTCAGATCATATGAGCGCCAGTTCTAATTCCGGTGGCTCCAATTCCCATCCAGCTCCCTGCCTGTGGCCTGGGAAAGCAACAGAGGACGGCCCAAAGCCTTGGGACCCTGCACCCATGTGGGAGACCTGGAAGAAGCTCCTGGCTCCTGGCTTCGGATCAGTGCAGCTCCGGTCGTTGCAGCCACTTGGGGGAGTGAATCAACAGATGCAAGATCTTTCTCTGTGTCTCTCCTCCTCTCTGTATATCTGCCTTTCCAATAAAAATAAAAGAAGTCTTTACAAAAACAAAAACACAAGCTCTTCAGCACTTCCCATTGGTTGAATTCAGGGAATCTGTGTAACTCAAGTGAGTAAAGGTTGCAAGTGAATTTAGCACAGTGAAATGATAAAATCCATAGGAACAGTCATGCGGAAGACAAGGAAAAACTCATATTGCAGATTGAAAAAAATAAAATGCATAGCACATGGCATATGAATCTATTACACCCATTCTAAGTGAGCACAGAACAGTATTAGGTATTTACAGATATAGATTTTCCCCCAAAACAGTACGCGTTTGTGTGTAAAAAAAAAAAAAAAAAGGAAAATGAAAAGCCATACCCATGTTCATGATAACAGTGAGCAGTGAGAAGTCTGTGAGTGGACATTGCATAAAGAAGACTTGAATCTTTATGACTTACATATTTCATTAAAAAGCATAAAAAGGACAAAATCTCTTCTCTGGATTGTGGGGAGAAATGCTTGCTATTTTTTTGCTGCATTTTGAAACATTGACCAAAATAAAAAACAAAGTATGTGAAGAGCAGTGCCAATGGGAGCCGTGTGGGGACAGGCAGCGTGTCCCATTTGTGCGAAGGGTCAAGGTCAAGAACTTGAGCCAGCCCGGTCTCTCAGGCTGCCAGTGTCCAGCTCATCGTCATCCAAGCTGCTAGGCCCCCAGCTACATGTTGCTAACAGAACTAGAAATCGAAATTAATGAAATTTAAGTACCTCCGGAGCCAAATTTTGAGTGCTGAACAGCTGCGTGGGACTACCGGCTAGCATGCTGGACACGAAGCCCACGGAACATTTCCGTTACTGCAGTGAGTTGAACTCAACAGAGCAGGTGCTGACCTAAAGACTTTCATTTTCTGTCTCTGTACAGAGAAAACCACTGACAGCTAATCCACGAAATGGTATTCCAGGATAACCCCTTTGGGCTTCCGTAGCGCGGCGGTTGCCACATCTGCCTGGCCTAGGATAATGCTAAAAATTACAATTATCACCAAATCACCATGTTCTTGTTAAAGGCAATGCGATAAGACATTTTTAGAAGCACACCCAGCAATTGTCCGTAGTTGTATAAATAATACGTTTCACTTCCTCCTAAACTCTTTGAGAAGATGGGTTGAAGGACAATGAAAGCGTTATCTAAGCAGAGTCCAACAGTCCTCCAAGGGCTGGGGTCGGGGAGGTGGCGATGGAGGGGGAAGGGGTAGTTGTTTATTTACCTGTACACAGTATGAGGGACATACACTTCTCGGATCGGAAATTCCAGAATCTCTTTGTGTAGACGTGTCCGGCTTTCGGGAAACGGCCTCACGGGCAGCATCTCAGGTGTCACGCAGCCGGGGATGCTCTCTGGAGCTGAAGAGATCTCCAGTCGGAGCACGCCTTCCAAGGGGCAGACAGGACTGCGGGTTAGTTAGCAAGCAGCTTTGTCACGTGACCAGGGCAGCCGCGAGGGGGGGGTGTTACAGGTAACCTGGGAGCGTGCATGAACTTGGGGAGTTCTCAGCTCACTTCTGAAAGCCTGAGAAAATCTAATGTGAAGGTGTCCGGTGAGTCGGACTATGCAACCTCAGCCATGGAATAGTCCTGGTGGTTAAGTTGCTTCCTTGCACAGCCGGCGGTACAAATGGAGGGGCTTTGGCCTTGGTGTCCCTTGGGACCCAAGCGTGCAGCAGAAGGACCCTGGGGGCTGTCTGGTTGAGGAAAAGGAAGGAGCCTTCACCTCCTGTGAGAATACCCCACGTGGACTCTTTCTCCGGTCAGAGCTGCTCGTGATAAGTAAGATTATCGAGTCATCTTTGTTCATAAAGATGACCTGATTAACTAAAAAAACCAGGTTTCAAATGCAATGTTTTTCAAAAGCCAGCCTTTAAGGAAAATAGAAAACATCAAGAGATGGGCCCAAATTCAGATTCTTAAGTCTGTTACACAGATGCATATATTATATGTATAAACACATGTATACATGTGCATATCTGTATTAAAGATTCCTATTTATTTGCAGTTACAGAGAGGAGGATATTCCTCTGCTGAGCTACTCCCCAAACAGCTGCAATGGTCAGAGCTGAACTGATGCAAAGCCAGGAGCCAGGAGCTTCTTCCCGGTGTCTCACATGGCTGCAAGGGCCCAAAGACGAGCCATCCTCCGTTGCTTTCCCACACAAACATGGAGCTGGATCAGAAGTGGAGCAGCCAGGACTTGAACCAGTGCCCATAGGGGATGCCAGTGCTGCAGGTGGAGGATGAGCTTGCTACACTACCAAGCCGGCCCCTGTTTTATATTTGCGATAGGCAACAAGACAGAGAGAGGGAGAGACACAGCGAGCCATCCCCCACCTAGTGATTCAGTGCCCAAATACATTCACGAGCCAGGGACAGGCCAGGTTAAAACCGAGAGCCCAGAACTCAATCTCTAAGCCATTGAGCACCTGCTTCCTTTGAACAGGCTCAGGAAGCTAGAAGGAGGAGGAGACCTGGGACCACAGCGCATGCGCTCCAGTGTGGCATTCAGGCGCACCAAGAAGCAAGTTAGCCACAAGGTCAAATGCCTGCCCCCACTGCAAAATCCCTGATTTGGAAGACGATATAAATTCCAGCTCCGGATAAACAACGTGCTGATGCTGAACCGTGTGGGCACAGCGAAAGAGGCCAAAGGGAAGCCAGCCACACCTGGGATCGACTTGACTCTCCTCTGTAGGGACGAGGACCTTTTGTAGTCGGCTAAGAACTTGAACAAGTCTTCGTCGCTGAGCCGATCCCCCTCCTGCAAGAAGAAGGCAGGTGGATGCGCAGGTTGCATGGGATAGGGACCGGAAGACCTCTGCCTTCCAGGTACCTGACAGGATTATTGGCAATTGAGGAATCATTCATTCTCACTTCCTGTGGAGCATTCAGGGATCTAGGCACTAACTCCAACCCAAAGATGCTAGATTCCCCCTCGGACAACACGTCACAACACGCCTCAAACACACACGACGGATCTCCACTTCTTACAGACAAGCCAGCAGTGTGGAGAGGAAGATGTGCCTTAACCCTAATGAGAAAAGTCAGGTGTTGTCAAGGACCAGTCCCTGAGGCCATGCAATCAGGAAGGGCTGTACCCTGAGCAGAACCCCTCTCGGAGCCTTGCTGTTTCTATTCTGCTGCCCAGTGTGTTTCCACTTGCTAATGTGACCCATTCCGGACCTCTGGAGCTGTGAAAATATTTCCAAACAGGATCAAATCAAGTCTAAATCAAGCTTTTTTTTTTTTTTTTTAAGGTAAAATATTAAATAGAGCTCAGGTTGAGGACGTTCATACTGTGGTACACCTGACCCTGGAACCTTTTCATCCTGCAAAAGAAGTCTGACCCTTTGTGCCCCTTAAATAACAACTCCACTGCCCTCTTTCCACGGTCCCTGGCTTTTTCCTCCAAGTTTTCAATGATGGTAATGTTTGCTGTGCTGTCTGGGGTGACTCCTGTCCAGGAGGAAGAACCCTAAAGAGGTGCACACGGGACACTGAGAACCAAACCCTGCCAGGAAACCTGGGGCGACCGGGACTTGACGTGTCAGTCCCAGCTTCATACGTTTCTGGGCTGGCTGGTGCTAACGGAGGACCAATCAGCGGGCACAGCTCTATCACTGAGCACTTTCTGGACCCAAGGCGCTCTTTGATGCCCCAGATCACGTGCCACTCACAACAGCCACAAGCATCAAGTGTCACTATTGCTGCTGGTTAGATGAGGTCAGCGGACATGTTCCATGGAGCACCACACGTGAGGACCAACCCAGACACTTGGTGAACAGATACCTGCTTGAAAAAGTTGTTAACGGTCATGGTGCTGGTCTTAAAGTTGGAGCCAACGCCATTCTCCTCCAAGGAGAAGGCCCTTTCAGAAAGTCTTCTGGACTGGGACAAAGTCCTGCGTTCACCCACAGAGCTTCTTCCTTCAATGAAAAGAAACATTATCTTAAAATGCACCTATCTGTCGGAATGCACAGCGACGGCGAACTTACAGGGAAGAACTTTGTGAAAGTCACTGACCATGAGCATCCTTGCTTTAAACAGAAGCTTCCCTTCTGGGGTCCCTATTTTTCTTTTTTCTTAAAGATTTATTTATTTATTTATATTGCAAAGTCAGATATACAGAGAGGAAGATCTTCCGCCCATTCATTCACTCCCCAAGTGGCAGCAATGACTGGAGCTCAGCTGATCTAAAGCCAGGAGCCAGGAGTTTCTTTCAGGTCTCCCAAGAGGGTACAGGGTCCCAAGGCCTTGGGCCATTCTCTATTGCTTTCCCAGGCCACAAGTAGGGAGCTGGATGGGAAGTGGGGCCACCGGGATTAGAACTGGCGCCCATATGGGATCTCGGCGCGTGCAAGGCGAGGACTTTAGCTGTTAGGCTACTGTTTCAGAACCACCCTATCTTTCCCAGTGCTCTACTGGAATCCCCTAAGCAGTGAGTGCAGAGAAGTCAGGAACAGGTCAGACTCCCTTCACTGGGCGCCCAGGGTAGAATCCAGAGCTGCTGTCAGACCAGGGTCTCGGTAAAAAAAAAAAAAAAACCACCTTGATTTATTCAGCCCAGTGTTTGTTTTTGCTATTTTTACAATTGCATTCCCCTGGGAGAGGCCAGAACTGAAATGGCCCTGCAGGCATTTGAATTGTGATCTAATCAGGCACAGCTCCATGGGGGGGGGGGGGGGACACTCCGAATCCAAGCTCTCGGTGTGTGGACCAGGCAGCAAAACTGTCTGACTTTGTTGACCTGCCTACTGGGGATTAGAATCCTAAACCCCACACAAGCCTGAGCTGGGAACCTGAGCTTTTGCTTAATTGTCACCTATCCCCTTTTGTGATTCATATTGCTTTATATTGCAAAATGCAGGGGTTCTGTGAGTGAACGCTCAGATGGCTTAGAGCCTAACAGATTTCTGTCTTTGAATATTGCTTTATCCCTCATCTGTACCATGATGCTGACCTGGAACTTTTTCCTAGCTAAACTCCTACCTCAGTGTGATAGTCTGCAGATTTGATTGGCATCTTAAGAGTCAGACACCAGGCTTGTGTTAATTCACTCTTGCCCTAGAGGCGATTGAGACCTCAAGGCAGCCTGAGCCTCAAAATTCCTCAGGTCATAGCAGCCACGAAGCCCTGCACATAGTTTTCAATCAAGGCTATATGGGACTACACAGAAGACAGTGTGAAAACATTTTGTGGTGGGGGGGGCCAGATGCAGTCAAGTTTATTACTGACAAGTCAAAAATAACCCAGGAGTTTTGACTGGTAATTATGCAATAGTAACTCCAGAAGAGCAGCGGCAATAACAAAATGCCATTTCCTCCACTTCCCGCTGAAGGCAACATTTCAGAAGAAGCAGAGCTAAGGAATGCATAAGAATGCATGGGAATATACAGTTCGACACTAGCTGGATACAAAGGCATTTGGGAAAATGGAAATCCTGGCACACATGGTTGGGATACGTGTACTTGAAAACTCTGCTTGGATTGGTCCAATCTGTGACTCAATCAAGAGCGAAAGGCTGGGAAAAAATAAGTTACATTGGACACTCTTTGGATATCATTTTTAATTTAATTCAAATCAGTTATCTATTCATTTTAATGTTATTGGAAGGGCAGAGAAATAAATGGGATCTTTCATCCATTGGTTCACACCCCAAATGTCTACAACGGGCAGGATTGGACCAGGCCAAAGTCCGGACAATCCCATGTGGGTGGCCGGGATTCCAGGCCTTCAGCCAGCAATTCATCTCACATCTGCAGGAAGCTTCAACCGAAGGCTCAGTCAAGATTTGAACCCAGCCATTCTCTTCTGAGATATGGGGGCCCCCCAGATGGCCACTATGGTCAAGCTTGGGGTTAGAGGTGGGCCAGGCTGAAGCCAAGAACCAAGAACTTATTCCAGTCCTCCCACATGTATGCAGCGACCCAGGTACATGAGCAGTGAATTGGATTGGAAATGGGGCAGCCAGGTCTCAAACAGGCACCGTACAGGATAAGGCAGGGGCTTAACCCACTGCCCCATAGCCCCGCAAGCAACATCTTCCCTGCTATAGGAAATATCTCTGCCCCAAACATGTACTTCTAAAAATTGCATTTGGAAAAATACTCTTTAAGAGACTCGAAATTTTGCTGAGACTCCTAAGTGTAGCTTTAGGAAGTCTTTATATCAGTTGCTTTTCTACGCCTACAAGACACAACCATGTCTTTTTTTTGACATCTGATTATTCTATCATCCTATTGTTTTTAAGAGTGTTACCACTGAGGGGGGTGATGGCTACTGAAAAGCAGCCTTTTAAAGTGTGAAACCATCTAGCAAATTACAGCCAAAATTTTATTCTAAAAGTATACTTAAGCTCTGAAAATGTTCATGGCAATTGGTTGGAGATTATTCTGCAAGGAGGTACACGCAATTCTGTCATGACAAATTTTCATTCTGCTAATCTCTTTTTTTCATTCCCACTCCCTAAACTTTACTATACCCCCGAATCCCATCAATAAACAGTTGGTGCACTGTGGAGCTCTCTCCTTCCCACTGCAGATGGCAAATCTTACCAGTCACGGGCTCCGCATCGGCTACCTCCCTTTCAAGGGTGGAGACATTGAAGAAGCTTGCTAAACTGATGGGAGCCCAGGCAAAGGGCATCCGGTATTTCCCTAAGCGCTGGCAAAAGGATTCAGCTTGAAGTTTTAATTTTTCAATCTTTTCTTTACTCTGGAGGAAAAACGGAAAAGAGATGGAGAAGAATCAGATAATAAGGCATCAGCAACAAGCCAGCAGCTCCCCTAGACGGGCCGAATCCCAAAGGGGGACTCAACAGGACAAGGATGCCACTTGGGCCCAAAGTCTAAAGGACAACAAAATCAGGTCTAAGATGCAAGACTTAGAGGTGCTACATCCAATCGGTAAATTATGCATGCAGGTTGAGAACCTGCGCAGGACAGCACCAAGGAAAAATCCAGGCTCCTCCTGATTCAGTACTTTCTGAGGTGCGTTAGAGCTGAATCCCAAGCATCCCTGTGGGAAAGGGGCGGCAGCCTGTGGTGCCGCTGGGGAAGGACAACAGATCACTGGCATCCTTCAGTTTTGTAAGGGATGCCTGGTCTTCCCAAACAGCTGGGTTAAACCTACTGGCCAAGCTGTACCATGACATCCGGGTGAGCACCATAACCAGCTCAGTAAGTTACATCTTTATCATGGACGGCCAGTCTCTTTTGCTTTTGTTCAAACACATTTCTGTGTGTGTTTACAACAGAGATGTATCACAAGTGAAAGCACATCGGGTATTTATCTGGAAACACCTTTTTGTAAGATGCCACCACTTTGTAAAGCTCAAGTGAGCCTACCTTCCCACCGTCACTTTCCTTGATAACCATGTAGGGTTCTGCGCAGTCTCCAATCTCCCCTTGCTGAAGGACTTTCTCAATCTGCCAGCAAATAATACCGAAAGAAGCACAAAAATTATATCCCTGTGATGAAACCTGTGCAACACCCCCACGTAATGCTTATTGACAACATTTGATGACGTGCTGTGTGCACAACAGATGGCATTGATTTTTTTTTTTAAGATTTATATTTCTTTACTGGAGAGGCGGATGTACAGGGAGAAGGAGAGACAGAGAGGAAGAGCTTTTGTCTGTTGGTTCACTCCCCAAGTGGCTGCATCGGCAGCCAGGGCTGAGCCTATCTGAAGCAAGGAGCCAGGAGCTTCCTCTGGGTCTCCCACATGGAGACCCAGGGTCCCAAAGCTTTGGGCTGTCTTCTACTGCTTTCCCAGGCCACAAGTGGGGAGCTGGATGCAAAGTGGAGCAGCCGGGATTAGAACTGGTGCCCTTAGGGTATTGATTTTTTTTTTTTTAAGATTTATTTACTTTTGTTGAAAAGGCGGATATATAGAGGGTAGGAGAGACAGAGAGGAATATCGCGCCAGGCCCTATGGTATTGATTTTTAAGATGAGTATGAAAAACACAATATACAGTGTTATAAAACAAAATTATAAAGGCATATTAAAAGGATGATGGCAGATACACAGCATATGTTAGCAGTTATTATCTTCGGATGGTGGGGTTATTTGTGATGTTTTACTTTCTTCTATTGCTTCCATGTAGCTTCTATTTTTGAAAAATAAACATGTGTTATGCCCATAATAAAAATGCAATAAAACCTATTTTATTAAAGCAAAACCCGTGAGTTCTATATCGGAAGTGAGAAGCTCATTTTCTTTAATATTACTTACAAGGTAAAAAAGAAATACGATCTCTATAAAAGTCAGGTTGGGACTAAAACCTTCTAGAAAATGAACAGAATAAATTGGCCGTAATTGTGTTCGTCACACTTCCTATTAGGGCTACTTATCCGGGTTTAATAGACTTGGGAAGAAATCCGAAAGCCACGAGACACACAGCTGGTCAATCAGACAGCGCGTCACTACCTTGACCACGAGGTAGATGTCTGGGGACGGGTAGGTGACAGAGAAGACTGCAGATCTGGCCTGACTCGATGGCGCAACCGACGGTGTGTGAGCGCGAAGAAATGCTTTGAACTGGTCAGAATTCAGGTCGCAGTGAAAGTTTTCGGAGATCTGGAAATGAGCGACAAAGGGAAAAAAGAAGTTAGACCTGCTATGCTCAGAGCCTAAACACGCCTGAGAAAGAGCAAATTTTTTTTTAAAGATTTATTTTTATTATTTTTTTATTGGAAAGGCGGATATACAGAGAGGAGGAGAGACAGAGAGGAAGATCTTCCGTCCGATGATTCACTCCCCAAGTGAGCGCAACGGCCGATGCTATGCCAATCCGAAGCCAGGAGCCTCTTCCGGGTCTCCCACGCGGGTGCAGGGTCCCAAAGCTTTGGGGCCGTCCTCGACTGCTTTCCCGGGCCACAGGCAGGGAGCTGGACAGGAAGCGGGGCTGCCGGGATTAGAACCCGCGCCCATATGGGATCCCGGGAGTGCAAGGCGAGGACCTTAACCACTTGCGCCACCGCACCGGGCCCAAGAAAGAGCAAATTTGTAGCACCCATTGGTGTGAACAAAAGCTGAGTGGCATGTGGCATAGACTCGACCAGTCTGCTCACATACTGGCATGCACAGGAACTATGGCTGGGGGTGGGCCTAGTGGGAGTTACGGGGGAGTCGCTCAGACTGGGCAACAGCTCCTGCTGGTGTATGCGAGGGCTGAGTATGTGGTATGCAGGGTTAGGGGGGCCCACGGTATCCACTGGCTTATATAAAAGATGGAGCTGCAGACAGATCTGATCCAACAGCTGCAACCACCAGTGTGTGTGTGTGTGTGTGTGTGTGTGTAGGCTGATGAGGGTGACAGATGGAGCAGGACCCAGCACTGGCTGGCACACATGGGAGTCAGGTTTGGGGTCACCTCTGGTGAGGTATGTTTTTTGAGGACCCCTGGCCTCCAACTGGACCACTACTGGACTCAGAGTTCCAACCACAGGCCAAATCGCAGGATCTGTGGTCTGACCACAGAGTAAATATAGAACTGGGCTTCCTCAGTTGCCGAAGACAGTGCAGTGGACAGCATGCCGAGGTGCACATGGTAGGTATGGCAGCTACTTGGGGCCACAGAGGATGGAGGGTGGAACAAATTGGACAGTTCTCCCAGCCAAGCATTGACAGCAGGCAAGTGGGCGAATGAAGACTCTAATGTGGACAACGTCAGCCAATGGGCCTTGGAAGGATTTCCTCGTCCTTGGAGCAATGAGATCAAAAGCCTTTTAGAACTACTGAAACCACTTGAGCAGGATCCTTGGTGTATGCTCCACGTGGAAGATCCTGGGATAACATCAGGTTCCCCAACCCTGGGTGCTGCTGCGTTTAAGGAGGCGGGGTGTGGCTTCTCCCCTTCTCTCCTCCCTCCCTCCAGATACGGGAAGAAGAAAAAGAAAATTGGAAACAACATTCTCATCCACCTTCACCTATTTCCTTGACCCTTCCTGCACCCATCAGTGATTCAACGATGTAACCATCATCAAAAATAAAACAATAAAAAAGAAATCCACCCAAGCAATGAATGCATTTCTGGTTGTATGGTCTATGGCCTGTGGCCACCAGCTGCCTCACCAGTCCTCCTGGTGATTCTGACGCAGGCTCACATTTGAGAATCAGTGCTTCTAACCGCTGCACTGGGGCAGCCAGCTGTTTGGTGACTGGTATTCACGCAAGAGCCACCAGGGCAATGGGGAGCAGAGAATTCCCCCCATTCCTCGGGGGGCCAAAGTGGTTTTCCTTTATTGCGCATCACAACAGCCAGGGAGAGAAGACACGGGGCCACTAAATCCTTTCCAATGAAAGCCACTTTCCAGCCTTTTCAACACAAGATGATTCCCTTCCTGGCAAGTCTGCTGCTCAAGGTGAACCTTCTCAAGCACAGCAAAGCCGGCCTGCACACCCAGGCTTGCTCAGAATCTGCTGAAGCTGTCTGGGTTCGCACACGACTCCCTGTGCTGACTGCTTCATTTCTCAACGAGGACCATCACTTCTGGCACACCTCTCACTTAAAGATTCTTCAAAGAAAATGACTAGGGGTCCCAGACCTCTGCTTCCAAAGGCAAAAAAAGCAATCCAATTGGATCTGTCCACGGGCCTCTGACTGTGGTTTTTAGCTGCATAGAAGTGTGATTTTAAAAGTGAACCTGGGCCCGGATCGTGGCGCAGTGGTTAAGGTCCTCGCCTTGCACGCCCGGGATCCCATATGGGTGCCGGTTCTATCTCAGCAGCCCCGCTTCCCTTCCAGCTCCCTGCCTGTGGCCCAGGAAAGCAGTCGAGGACGGCCCAAAGCTTTGGGACCCTGCACCTGCGTAGGAGACCCGGAAAGAGGCTCCTGGCTTCAGACCGGCATAGCATCAGCCGTTGCGCTCACTTGGGGAGTGAATCATCAGATGGAAGATCTTCCTCTCTGTCTCTCCTCTCTGTATATCCGCCTTTCCAATAAAAAAAATAATAATAAAAATAAATCTTTAAAAAAAAAAGTGAACCTAGGGGATCATGGTGAATACGCCATGGGTCGGCTTTCTTACCTTCTTCCTTTCTCTGACATCATAGAGGGCGATGCTGGCGAACAGAGGCTCAATTTCAATTTCAAATCTGTTAGAGGGAGAAATGCGGGGAGCTGTGATTTAGATTGTCGTAGGTTTTCTGAAACTGCTTGGATCTGCACACTGGTTAAAACTGCGCACAGTTTCCAGAAATATTCAGAGAACGTCATTGCCTAGAGCTACCACACTGAAACATGAACGGAGAAACACAGGAGGCTCATGGACATTTTCTTAATGTTTGACGTCATGGGGGATGCACAGAATACAGGTTAACGGAGACAAAAGAGTTGGCTATTCCAACAGCACGTTTGCAAATGAGACTGTAATGGTGGTGAACTCACAGACCAGCGGGACAGACTTGAGCTCTGTTCCCCTTCCCAAGCCTGGGAACGCTACCTTCCCCAGTGCCATTTCTTCATACGCAAAGTGAGCAAGCATGTCATAAGGTTACACAAAAAAACCAATGGCGAGCCATATGCCCAAGAGCCCAAAGGCAGAAGCAGCCAAGCGACAGAAGAATGGATGGAAAACAACGGTGTGCGTTTCAGATCTATAAGACCAAAGGCCCTGACGCCTCCAGCAGTAGAGGTGGCTGGGGGCAGGGTTATAGCACAGTTAGCTGAGTTTAGACCCTAGGGTCTGACAATTTCATTTATAAGTAGGAACTCAAACACTCAGAGAAGTTCTTGGAGTTCAAATACGGCCTTGGATCCAGAATTCAGATGCTGAATTGCAAAGCGGCCGCTGTGGAAGGGATGCACGGATTGACTTGAAGAGACAAATGATCTTCCTGGTAACATGCGAAAAAATATGTTACCCTTATATACTTTAGCCCAGATAATAGCATTTTACAATTTTGATACTTTCAATAAGGTCTGTAATTCAGAGTGGAAGAATCAATTCTACATGGTAGCAGTACGCTAGAAGGAAGAGAAGCAGGTGACCAAGGCAAAGAGTGACACTAAGGCACTGATCAGACGGCAAGAAGCCAACAGGAGAATGGATCTAGATGGCATGTCCATGTGCTGCAACGTAGCTACGCAAGGGCAAAATTAACACACATACAGGAGGGAATGTGACTTTGTTTTTAAACTGTCAAAGTACAATACAACTGTTTCAAAACAGATGTGGTAAACAGATGTCTCTGAGTAGGCAAGGCTCTCATCCGTGATATTTATGAATTTCTGCACCATGACCAATTTCAAGCTGCTAATAAGACGTTGTGAACCGAGAGCGGGGAGGAAGGTGTGTGGTGTCAGCTCGCGTGGGGTGTATACGAGCCGACTCCACCACCCATCTCTCTATTCCTGCTATTTTTCTTGATATCGGCTATCATTTCACATGCCTAACCTTAGCCAACACCTGAGATTCGTTCCGTTGAAAGATGGCAAGCAAAGGTGCGGGAGGAATTAAGTTCATGTCTAGCCGACCGGCCCGCCCTGGTCACTCCCCTGGGGCACACGCTATCCCCAGTGCACCTGCAGGTCTTCTCAATGATTCAGTCTCAGGACTCAGACACGGTTTGTATCTAACAGCACAAGCCTAGCGTAGTGACTTCCGGACCAGCGGGTACTTACTTCAGCGTCAGCACCTTGACCAATATCCTGTTGCCTAGATGTTCTTTAGGACATTCTGGAATTGGACGTATCTCCACAGCGTCCTCCTGTTGGTGAGCACAATGTAATGAGATCATTAGAGAATTTCCATAACGAGTCCCACTTGGAGTTAAGCCAGGGAAGGAGAGATGCCCTCCATATGCATTTGCTTTACGGAATAACGCTGTGTCTTTTATAGGAGATTGTGTCAACCAACTTCCAACCTCAAGGTCAGCGTTGACTACACAAACCCAGAAGACAAAGAGAGTTGGGGGGGCGGGGAGGAAACATGAACACACACACCGCTTAGGAACATCCACCAGATGTACTGCACGATTTTATACCTAGTGTTGGCTGCTTTTAAAAAATTATTATTATTATTATTATTATTATGATACCTTTGTCTTACCACACAGAGGTTAAAGACTGAAAGAGTAGCAAGTGTATTGTAAGTTAAGCAAGCACATCCCAGCTGCGACTGTCTCATAATTAGATTCATGCATGCAAAGATTCCCCACACTCCCGCAGCAGGCTACCCAACACGGCTGAATGTCTAGTACACAGAAGGGCTCCAAGAACGAGGCTCTTTGTGATGGTCTTCCCCTGGGGCTGGATATACTCAGGGTGTCTCATCACACATTCCACGGTGAGTGTATGATTTTTACACGCCGGAGTGAAGTCACCTCTGTGGTAAATTCACACTCAGCTTGCTGGTGTCACTGAAGTGGTCACCTCCGCCATGACGCTAACCTCCCCCCACCCCCATCAGTTCCCGGTCCCTGTGGTCACATGTGGCCATCTCGCTGGATGAAATTAGAGTTCTCCAGAGAATGCACTCTGCTGCTGGCTGTCTGGAATGAGCTGAACTCCCTCAGTGCCGGCTGAATCTTCGAGAACGATAAATACAACAGAAAGGAAGGACCCCTTAACTTGAAGATAGCCTCAAGACACGTTTTGCAAACACTCCTGTGTTTCTAAGGCTACTTTTTCTTTAATCTTCTACCTCCCTTGAAAGAGCCTTTTAAGACCTGACACCTTCTCCCCAGGACACAAGCCTAAAGAGGTTGCAGATTGCCCAGCAAAGCGGGTCTGGGGACATACTGGAATAGGGGCCGCTGAAGGCATGTTTGACAAATGGGGAAAATGACTTCTAGGAGTTTCCACAGACCAAGCCACCTCACTTGCAGGTAGGTGAGAGGGCTGAGATGGTATGGTTTAAAAGTGGAGTCTGAAGGGCATTTCTGGGTCAGAGCAGGGCACTAGTCCATGTGGGAGACATGGGCTGGGTTTGGTAGCATCATTCTCTGCCAGTACTCACAAAAGCTAAGGCTGGGAGGCAGGCTTGGGCTGCAGCACTTACTGCCAAGTGTACGGGGAAGGAGGTGGGCCACGTTAGGCTGGGCCAGAGCATCCACCTGAACATGAGAGAGCTGTGGCTGGGCGGCTGGGGGCAAATTCTGTAGGAGATTTGTGAGTTTGCCCTGTGGGACTACAGCACCCAGAAGTTTGCATGAGAGCTGGGGCTGGTGAAGGACCAAGCCAGGCAAGACTGCGGAACTCACTGATATTCACGGGAGCCAGGGCTGGGAGCAGGTGAGGCTGAGTCAGGCTGCAGTGTGAGAACTGCAAAGTTAGAATGATTGCACCACTCTCACCTCTCTCCACCCAAGACTAGAGGCCAGTATTGTGGCATTACAGGTTAAGCCACTTGCAAAATCCGCATCCCATACGGACACAGGATTCCACTTCTGATGCAGTTCCCACCATAAATAAGAAACACACTATTAAAAAATTCTTGACAACGCTGACAAAAGGTTTTACTGTAATGGTTGGGAAACAAAGTTATAAAACATAATTTTGTAAATTACCATCTTTGGATTTCAGTCACACATGCTCATATATAGCATGTAATCGCCAACACACACATAAAGAGCCAGATGTGAACTGTGGAGTTAAAGGGTTAAAGGATTCACCAACATCTTGCACAAGCCACTTAACCTTTCTAAACTTAAGGACTGGAGACAATATTGCTTATATTATGCAAAGTTAATTTTAAAAATCTATTTTTTGTTGACTAATAATAACCATCTACTAACAGGTATGATGTTTTTAATCTAGACATACACTGAGGAAAGATTTTTAATCTATGTATATACTGTAGAAGGAATTTTTTCAAAAAAAGATTTGTTTTTAGTGGAAAGGCAGATCAAATTTGCAGAGAGAAGCAAAGACAGAGAAAAAGACCCTCCACCTGTTGGTTTGCTCCCCAGATGGCAATGGTGGCCAGAGCTGAGCCAATCTGAAGCCAGGAGTCAGGAACTTCCCTGTGGTCTCCCATATAGGTGCAGCATCCCAAGTTTGGGCCACCCCACTGTTTTCCCAGGTCACAAACAGTGAGCTGGAATGGAAGTGGAACAGCCAGGACATGAACTGGCATCCATATGGGATTCTGGCACTTGCAAGGTGAGGATTGGGCCGTTGAGCCATCACCCTCGGCCCCAGAGAAAGATTTGATCAAGCCAATTAACTTTACTGATACCTCCCTGCCAAGGTGCCTCAGAGGTGGCAGACAGTCACTCAAGACCCTGGGCCTTTGCCACCCAGGTCAGGGACCGGGACAGAGTGTGTTTCTGCCTCCTGGCTTTGCTATTAGTTTGACCTCGGTTGCTGTGGCCAGCTGAGGAGTCAAACAGCAAATGGAAGGCCTGGCTGTCTCTCTCCCTGATGTCCCTCCTTTCAAATAAATAAAATATTTTTAAGGAAGAGTATGGTAAGAATTGCTAGCTGTTACTTTTATCGGCGTTCCATCTAGGGAATGAGGCATCGGGTCTAGTGTGTCATAGACTTGTCTTGATGAAAAGAAATAGCCCCTGGAAATCACGCAGCGAAGCACCTGCGCCTCAAGGATGGTACAACAGCTGGAGGCGACCAGAAACACCTTCCTCGTGGCTCTGCAGCGTCTCGCAAATTCTCTGATGGGGACGCGGTCGCACCCACCTCGTCCACTGATGGGTAGAGAGCAAAGAGCTCGGCCTGCCGATTGGTCCTCCGGGCCTCCTCATTCCGCTTCTCAAAGTCCTCGGAGCTCACGTGTTGCAAAAGGTGTTCCAGCCGCGGGTCAGGCTGCAGGCTGCGAAGGTCAAAGTCACAGGCAGTGAGGGGGCCTCTGCCGGACACGTCACACAGCACGTTCAGGTGGCGGGGGGCCGTCTGGGAGACAACATATTGGGAGGGAGAGAGTGCGCATACGATGAGAAGCAAGGACACATCTGAAGGATATGACACCATTCTTACGTTCACTGCAGCTCTATTTAGGGACAAGACATGGCCGCAGCCCAAATGTCCACCCACTGACGCATGGGTCAAGTGTGTTACATGCAGGCAAGCTGATTCTCCGCCACTAAGAGCGAGAAACTCTTGGCACTGGCAGCAACAGAGATGAAAGCGGAGGTCACCCTGCTAAAGGAAATAGGCCAGGCACAGAAAGACAAGCGCCGCACGCCCTCACACGTGGACTCTAAGAAAGTGGATCTAAAAAGGCTGCCATTGTGGCACGAAGTGATAAACCACCGCTACGAAGGCTGGCATCCTGCATCCAAGTGTGGCTTCCAGGCCCTGCTGCCACTTCTGACCCGAATCTTGGGAACACAATGGATGATGGTCCGAGGAGCTGGGCGCCTGCTGCCCTGTGCGAGCAGGGTTTCAGCCTGGCCCAGACCTGCTGGGTGCAGCTATCTGAGAAGCAAACCAGCAGCTTCTTCTTTCTCCATCTTTCTGCTTCTCCTCCTCCCTGACTCTTCCTTTTGAGTAATGAAGTGAATAAATAAACAAATCTTTTTTTTTTTTTTATAGTTGATCTCATAGAAGCAAAGGGCATGATGGTGGTTACAGAGGCTGGGGACAGAGGGGAGAAGGGAGAGATGGGACAAGGTTGATCAGCGGGTCCCAAGTTATGGTTGAATAGAAACAAGATTCCTGGATTTTTGTACTGCAGGTGACTACAGATGACACAGGTACTACGTGGTACTACGTAGTACCTGTGGTTCTATGTGTCTGTGAAAAACTTTTTAAAACTTTTTTTTAAAAAAGGACAACTAAAGAATGGGGAATGTCTCCTTATCTTCCCAATGTTGTTCTACAGAATCTTGGGCCCCAGAGAATTTTCTAGACAAACTGGACATTGGACAAGAAGTCTGTCTTAGCTTCCCAGCCCAAGACTAAACCGCCCTCCAGGGAGATAGGTAACTCGTGTGGGATGCAGCTAAACCAGAGTGGAGAAACTGGCAGTTGGCTTGCTCTTCTCTGCATATTGGGAGCCGAGTCTCTATGTGACCACACACGAGCCATGCCAAGCTAGAATGTGGTGTGACAGTAAGCAGACCGGGCCGGGAAACCAGGCCGCATTCCAGTCTGCAAGGCTAAGCCTAACTGGGAAGGAAGATGATCTGGGAGGAGTCTCCAGAACCAACTGTATAGACCCCAAAGCTGGAGTTCTGTTTCCAAAGGCAGAGAAGTCGGAGTGAGGGACATTTTCCTACAGGGTGTGAAGTTAACAGTCGTAGAAACACACACACACACACACACACACGGAGGGAAAGGAGCGAGGGAAGAAAAAGGGAGACAGAAAATATTTGCTATTCTGCCTTCCAGCTGCAGTGTGTTTCAAAGGGTCATCATTCACAAAATGGTTCCTTTATTTTGATTGCAATGTCCCAGCAACTGGGCACCACGTGCCCGATCAGAGACTTGGCGAGGAGTATTTAACGTGACCCACGCCGTGTGCAGAGGCCGTGGGTGGGGCACCAACAAACAGCACAAAGCTTCTGGTGAAATGGGCTTCCAGAATCTAGGACTGAATAAACCACTGTTCAAGTTCCCTCTGTTCTTTATTCTCACATTTTATGACATCTAGCTACCTCATAAAAAGTTGCTTTACTGCATCATAAAGGGTACCTAACCTCTGTGTGCTGATAACCTTCGATACTAACACTTTATCAACACTGCTGTTTGTCTTGAAATTGAAGCAAGTAGGTGGAAAAATCAGTTCGATTCCAAGATTTCCTTTTTTAAGGATGTCAAGGAGAAGGAGCAGTCATTTTTTTTTCCTCTAGTCCCTTTCACTAGGGCCAAGAGCCCCCCCACATCCCACGTTAACAATGTCTGCGTGGGGGTTCAGGCTCTGTTCTCCCAATCTCACGGATTCCCGGAGACCAGCAGGTGCACGGCTCAAGTTAGCATCCCTGCTCTCCACGCGGAGAAACTCGGGTGGAGTTTGCAGTTCCTTGCTTCAGCCTGGCCACACCCCACACACTGCAGACATTTCAGGAATCAGGCTGCGGATGGGAGCTTGTGTCCCAGCTCACGCATCAATCAATCAACAAACACCGAACTCAATAAATCAATTTGTCAAAATAAAAGGATGCCAAGTAGCATGCTCAAGCACAGAGTTCATACTCTGTCGCTCTCCATGTGTGTATATGTCAAGAATCTTATGAATCTTAACACCTTTGAATGCAAAACAATTTCATTCTTTCATGTCTAAGAATCTATTCTTAGGGCATGTAACTGGACACAGATGTAAGGGGCATCCACACGCAATAACAAGATACCGGAAACAGGCTAAACACCGCCCCGCCGAGGACGCACTAAGAGACTGCAGATCTTTTCACACAATAAAATGGTATGTGGTTATCAAAAAAGAATATATTTACTAAAAGAGAAAGATAACATTGCACTCCTTCACACACACAGTCACATCAGCTGACAGGTGGATGTCAGGTTCCTCAGAGAGTCAGCCACACCCCTGCCACCAGCTGGCACCAGCAGCGCCCCCTGCCTTGTTCTGTTGCCTCTCTTCTGGCCTCACTGCATTCTGATGCCAAGCTCTTCCTAGTCTCCAGCCCCAGACGGGCGAGCTGTTTCCTGCAGCGGGCATTTTTCCATGGCCTCAACTTTTCTCAGCCCTGTACGATCTGCTTCATTCACCTATGTTAAATTTCTCTTGTTGAAATACCTAGTGTAGTTCGTCTGAAGAATACAAAAAAAAAAAAAAAAACAAAAACATGGAGCTATCCATCACATAGGCTGAGAAGCAGATGGAGCCAAAGCCACGTGGGCACAATCCCTCGCAGAGTGAGGCAACCTGGCATTGCATTCCCTCCGCCCTGGGTTGGAGCTTGGCTCATCTATGGCATCTCCCTCGAGGCAAGTTAGCTTGACTGGTGCCATTGTGTTGTTTGAAAAATGAGTATTACTTCAATGTGGTGAGATGCCTGTGTTATAAGAATACCTGTAAACTGGAACTATGGAAGTTTACAAGTCTTGCCCAAGCTTGGCCACACTTCTCTGTTTCCTCAATTATAGGATAGTACTAGCCTCAAAATGTGATGTTGGTAAATATATATATGATATAAAACTTATTAAGAGTCTATTTTAGGAATGTTAAGCATATTCACACTTTAATACAACCATTAATACTACCAGCGGGTACTTGCCGGACCACAGGGACACAAACAGTACATTTCAAACACCCTGGCGAAACAGGGCCCAAATAGTTCATTTCCAATCTGAGAATTCTCCTCCCAGGAGCCCTGTCTGGCCACATTTCCAACTATGGCACACCTCTCTGTGGACAGTACATACTGACAAGGGCGCGCCTTCTGTCCGTTCAAATCCACCATTTCCCGGTGGATGTGGGTCTCCCTGCAGCTGCTTACCTCATCCTAGCAGGGTGCTGCGCACTGCCCGATAATCTTCTCTAATTTGTCACTCTGTGGTCCTGTTTTTTTTTTTTTTTTCTGCTTGCTTCCTTAGAAACCTACAAAATCCTAACCTTAGCCTCCATGACTCCTTTTATCTTGCAAAAGTAAACCCTACACGCATGAAACAAGCCAGGTTTGGCTGGGCACAAGGAGCGACGGGAACTGTTTTAAATCTTTGTGCACAGCGAGTCATCTGATTCTCAGTTTATGAGTGAGTTCGTAGGAGCACTCTTGCTTCCTGGAACGGGGCGAAGTCCTGAGACTTTCGTGACATAGTTTCTGCAGGTACCAAAATAAAAAAAGTTTGGAAACAAAATTCATTGGATGCAAGGCCGGAGTTCATCACCCTCCTACCAGTTGCTAGCATGCCCTGGGCAGAGCGGCCCTGTGACCAGGGGACCGTGTTTGTCGCTAAGAAATACCTGAGCGGTGGGTTCAGCAGTCTCCACAGTCTCTGATTCAAAAGTTTGTTTCTGAAGACAGATTTCTTTTCGGGAGCCAGTCTTCTTAAAGCTGCAAGCGTCTGAACTTTCCTGGTTCCTTTTGCGGTTGGTATGGTTTCATTTGGAGACGGGGAGGAAAAAAAAAGACAGAGACAAAAGCATGAGATTAGAAAGAATGAACGTAACGGCTGCAGCATATTTGCTTGGTACTGAGAGAGAGAGAGCTTTCAGAGAGAGAGAGAGAGAGGACCAATTGTAATTTCTCACAAGCGATTATGCACCAGGCGGAACACAAGGCGATGGTGTAATGAGATACAAATTTGCCTCCTGTCTGGCTCCTAATTAAAGGCCGGGAGCGGCCTGGGAAAATGCCGCTCGCGAGGTGTGGTCACTTGGGCTGTAGGGCATTTGGTTCCAAATTGAGGCTCAGTGGCGACCCTAATGTGAGAGACTGCAAGAAGCAGAAGCAGCAACTGGAAAGCGTTTGAAGACGAAAATAAAACCATCTGATTTCCCTGGCACCGCTCCCAAGAACAAAGCATAAAGACAGGGCATGTCATTGAAAAAAAAAAAAAGAAAAAGAAAAAGCAGAAACGAATAATTCATCCACCAAAAACTTTAGTGATGCTCTCAATGAACTCAATGAACTCCATAAAACTGCCTGAAAATGCACACTTCCGGAAAATGCACACAACCTACAGCATGCGGCATCATCGCTGCAGGAATCCGACTATCATGAAATGGGCAACAGATACAAGTTTTCAGAAAGAGATGAGTGCACTCCCGAATTGGAAGAGTTTTGGAGAAACACACTCCAATGGCAGGTGTACAAGCATGCACCCATTTTGTTTGATTCCGTGTCACGCGAGAGAAACCACTGAGCCAGCTGGGACCTGAAATGAGGTTAGGAATGGTCCGGCAGATGAAATGACAGACAGATACAGCTGGAAATGTGGGGAGAGCTGTCAGAATGAGCCCGATAAAGAGTTTCTAACTCTTCGGGAGGGCAGGAGTTCAGGAAAGGCTGGGCTGGCTTAGCATCCTGTGTGTGGGGGGGGACGACAGCTCTCTCCTCCCTGCATTTCATTTTGCTCAGAGGCAAGCAGTGCGTTCTCTTGTAAAAGGAGATAAGATGCAGCCCAGAAAAGATGAAAAAAAGGAGACAAGATCAGTTTGGTGGCTGTTTCAAGTTGAGGTTTACCATAACGGGTCATCTTTGCCTTGCGGTCACCTGAATTGCCCCGACCCAAACCTATACTGATAGGAGCGCTGACCCAACTGGGAAACTGACAAAAGAAAAAGCAGGACGAATACTAAGGTGTACGCGGGACAAAGACAACGAGTAAACATTTATACAAAAGGTCATGCAAAACATTCTACAAAACCTTGTCATTTGGGGATTCTTACGCGCTGGAAGACCACGCAAGCGTGTCAATATAAATTCGTGGCAAGTAGTTAATTTCATGGTTATTACTCAGTTAAGAATATTCATAATCCCTTCTCAATCCTATAAATTTAGGCAGTAACACAGATGTGTGTGCTGGGTTCCCAGCATACAACTGACTTGCTTGTGGCTTTCCTGTAAGTCATATTTAATATCCTGAAGGGGGCAGTAGAGAGAGAAGGCGCTTGTCCCACATTTAGATGACCAGCTTCTCCGCTTACAATCCTGCTTCCTGCGCCTTCGCATCTTTGCACCTGTGCAGGGTTCCCGCCACCACAAGCGAGACCCTGATGTGATGCTGGGTCCCTGACTCCAGCTGCTCGCATGTGAAGGAGTGAAGCAGCAGATGGAAGATCTCTCTTTCTCTCTCTCTCCCTTTCAGATCGAGACGGTAAATTAAAAGCTAAAACAAGAACTGGGAGAGGTGAAAGGAGAGAAATAATTTATGTCCTGAGATTACATTGTCCCAAATGACAGCACACTGAATCAGTGATTATGCTTTCAGAAAAAAAAAAAAAAGGTAGGGGGAAAAATGATCAAAGAATTTAATAACATCAATTCATCCTCAGATTTTGAAAGGCAACCAGTGGGTTAAAATCGAAACTCGCCACGCCGCCGTCTGCTGTTGACCTTTTTCAGAATCTGGCCCCAAAAGGGCAAGTTCTACATCACAGGTCTTTTTACAGAGAAACCTCCAGGGCCACGGAAATAAAAACCAGCCAAAAGCCAAAGAATGCGCATGGCACACGCAGGGCAGCCTCAGCACCCAGGGCCACATCTACTGCAACAAAGTGCGCTCATTCTCAGAGAGAATTAGTTATAACTGAACATCTCTCTCTCACGGACACACAACCTGCGCGCGCGCGCGCGCACACACACACACACACACACACACACACACACACACACACCATGTGTGCCTGCCTTCTTCACCTTCAAGTCACTTCTCTCTGTGCCTCACACCTTTTACAGAGACAGGCGTAGCAGCAGATTCCAGGAGATCTTCCTAAGTTGATATACTATCCCTAGTGGCTAAAGCCCTCGTCTTGCACGCTGGTTCTAATCCCGGCAGCCCCGCTTCCCTTCCAGCTCCCTGCTTGTGGCCTGGGAAAGCAGTCGAGGACAGCCCAAAGCCTTGAGACCCTGCACCTGCGTGGGAGACCCGGAAGAGGCTCCTGGCTTCTGGTTCCGGTTGGGTGCAGCTCCGGCCACTGTGACCTCCGGGGAGTGAACCACCAGACGGAAGATCTTCCAGAACTGCCCTCACAGACAGGCACGGCCAATCGCGTCCAGAACTGCCCTCACGGACAGGCACGGCCAATCGCGTCCAGAACTGTTCATGGACAGGCACGGCCAATCGCGTCGGGAACAGTTTATGAGCAGACCCCGCCAATCGCGTCCAGAACTGCACTCCCTTTCTTCCCGCACTGTGCTTGTCCATTTGGCGTCTCTCTGCAGCACGTCCAGCTGTCCACAGAGCTCTCTTTTGAGACCGTGGTGGAACAGGCAGATGCTGGCTTCTGGAGGAGACCCAAGAGGCTCAACAGAGCTTGGGAGGCCGGCTTCTTGCACGCTGGCTAACAGCCAGGTAAAAGTGACATGTTCACACCAAGCCACACTTTCCCCAAATATGGAAAGAGGGAATCGTCCATCTGAAGATCAGAAAATGCTGTGTGTTCCTCTTCCTTCCCTCTTCGACCAACCTGCACCCCTTCGCTCTTTTCTCTCCTTCCTGGGCTGAAACCACTCGGTGCATCAGAACACATCAGCCATTCTTGGGGTGACCAGTGACTAAGAATGTCTAACATGGGAACCTGAAGTTCCAACTGACACGGAGAACAAGAACCGTAAACGTGAGAGAAGGGAAGGCATCCCGGCCTGGCGTCGCCTGGCATGCGATGACGATGCCTGAGTTGTGTGTAGGGTAAGCCTGCCACGAGGCGTCGGAGCCCAGACACCAGGCAGGGTGCAAGAGTGTGCTATGGAGGGCTGGTTTGGCAGTAAGTGTCCGTGTAAGCTGCAGAGGGTCCACGGGGCAGGAGGACCAAGCCAGGCACACAGCCAGGATAGGAGAGGAGGAGGGTGGCTGCATGAGGCTGGAGCGAAAGTGCAGACAGTGGCTGATCCGGGCGATTTTCATCAAGTCAGAAATTGCATGAAGGACAACGGCAGCCAGCTGGTTCACTAGCCAAAGGAGTTAAAAACACGGAAAGGAAAAAAAAATAGAATAAATATGGTGAGGCACTACTGGATCGGCACGCATCAGCACCCACTTCTGATCTCTGCCTGCTGAGGCACAGAAGGGGGCAACAAAGGGGCACACCCCAGGGCTCCATCTGGCTCCATGTGCCTCCAACACACAATCAGGGCAACTCAAGGAAATGACTAAATTCAGGGCTGAGCAAAGGGCAGGACAGGCTCATCCTAGGATATCCCAGGAAGGCAAGGATGCGGCCACACAGTGCTGGGGCCATGCGTGCAGCACACGACCAAGGGTAAGCTGCTTGGTGTTAAAGAGGCCACCTGCACTCCTGAATCCCCATGTCAGTGTGTTGAGTTGAGGTCCCAGCTCCGTTTCCCAATTCCAGCTTCCTGCTATAAAGCACATCTGAGCAGGTGGCAGTGACAAACCAAGGACCTCAGGGTCCTGCCACCCAGGTGAGAAACCACAATTGAACTCCTGGCTCTTGGCTTCTACCTGGCCCAGCCCTTGCCTGTTAGAGACAGGAGGGAATCAACAAAGCAAAGGGCACTCTTGGTCGAAGAGACTGCGCGTGCCAAACAGCACCATTTGCACATCAAAATAAGTGATGGAAATTAGTCCTAGCATATCCAGCAAAATATGAAACTATAATTCAACCCTGATACAATGAACCGGAAAAAAGGGGGGGGGGAAGCTTGTGGATAAATGGTGTATATACACAAGTCAAACCAAAAACGGAGGAGCCTTTTAAGCAAAATAGCTGGCCTCCAACCTCAAGGTCACAGAAGTGAAGGAAACTTAAAAGAAACAAGCGTAGAATAAGTAAGATTCAAGACACGTGACATTGAAATTCAACAGAGGACTTTGACGTGAATCCCTCTGCAAGAAAGGACATTCCTGAGATATATGGGGGGGTGGGATTCAGTGATAACGATGAGTTAATCTGAGTATGATGGTACCACACCGATTATAATGGAGGGATGTCTGTGTGTAAAACAACTTCACACTGAAACGTTCAAGGTGATGGGTAATCAGACCCGCAGTTACTCTTCAGATGACACCTGCAACTTCAAAAGCGTTATGCTTTTTCTCAGATTTTTTTTTTTTTTTTGGAAAGTCAAATTTACAGAGGGAAGGGGAGACAAAGATCTTCCATCTGCTCGTTCATTCCCAAGTGGCCACAACGGCTGAAAGTGAGCCAATCCGAAGCCAGGAGCCAGGAGCTTCTTCCCGGTCTCCCATGCAGGTGCAGGGTCCCAAGGCCTTCCCAGGCCAAAAGCAGGGAGCTGGATGGGAAGCGGGGTTGCCGGGATTAGAACCTGATATGGGATCCTGATGTGTGCAAGGTGAGGACTTGAGCCACAAGGTTACTGTGCTGGGTCCAAAAGTTTTATACTCTTTCAAAACGAAAGAAAAAGAAAATCCGTCAAGTGTCTGTCGCTGTAGCAAA